TGCAAAAATACAAAACTATAGAATCCAAATCTTTTTTTACATAATTTTTAAAAAAATCAACTCAAAATATTTGAAACTCTATTATTTACATATTTCAGACCCCAAAATTTTAATTTACAAATAAAAGTTATTTCACTATTATTTACATGTGTCACGCCCCAGCATTTTTATTTACATATCTCGCCCGGATGGACTTGGTAGGACTTTGGCGAGCCTTAATTGCTGGTCGGCTGGATTGGATGGAGTTGTCGGTTGAATGGATCACTAAACACTGGTCTGATCAGCTAACTTTTGTCGATCGATAGGCATGGTTCAGTTGTCGACTCTCAATCTCCACCAAGGAGCTTCGGTCGACAGGGTGAACCTAGGCCAATAGGCGTAAGTCACCGTAATTTGGCGGGTAGTCTTCCCTTCGACGAGAGGGACCGAATGGGTTGACCGAGACCTGTTGTATGCTCTTGATGGTATTGGAGGAGATGACTGAATGATCCCGATATGATAGATTCATGGGGATCAACTTCTTCCTCATATTGACTTCATTGTGGTGGCATGCTTGGATGACTCTTCGCCCGTCGTCTGAATGAGTTGCTTGGGTTGATAACACTTTGACTGCCATTGTGATTTAGGCAATCTCGAGTTTGCTATATTTGATCGGATATATGGTTCACCAATCTGTCTTTTGGCGGGACTTCTTAATATCATGGTCTTTTCTCACGCGCTATTAGATCTTATCGAGATCATACTAACATAATTTATGTGTACAAGCACACTCCTAGGTTTATTTTTTAAAATCTCATTTAAATATCAAATTTCACAATAAAATTATACTCATATATTTTATATTTGTAAAAATTTAATGATTTAATCGCCACACACACACACAGATATATATATATATATAGAGAGAGATCGTTACCTTTCTGCTTCCTCTTCTTAGTGGATATTATGACTCCTTATGACTTTTCTTAATTAAAATGCAACTTTTAAAGTATAGGCAAGGTGGCATAGATGTAAAAAAATTAAGTTTAATTTTGAGACGAGCAAAGTTTTTTATTTGTATTCAAGACATCCAAATTGCTAATATCACATTAAAAATATCATCATTATTAATATTTAAAATTAAATACATTTATTTATTATTATACATAAATTTATGACATCAAAATATTATTAGGCTTGTAAATATTAAATTTTTATATGTTAGACATTTGAATGCATAAGAATTTAAGGAATGTATGTAAATTATGCTTTTCTCAATAGCTATTTCTTTTTTTTTTTTTTTTTTGTTTGGATGGACGGTGAGTTAGGGATGTAAAAGAGCCGAATTTGAGCGAGCTCAAGCTTGACTAGTGTTCAGTTCATTTGAAATTACTCGTGTTCGAAATTGGCTCGAGAACAGTGTGTTTGTTTTCGATTCGATTTAAATATTATTGTGCTCGAAATTGGCTCGTTAAAATTAATTGGAAATAATAAATGTAAAGCGTTGGATTCGAATATAAACCAAATGTATGAAAAAAAAACATAATCACATTACCACACAAACCGTAATAATTTAAATTTAGATATAAATCTATATAATATATTATTAACCGTAATAACTTAAATTTAAATATAAATATATATAATATATTATTATATAAATATTTTAAAAACATTTTTATTTTGAGCTAAAACGAGCCAAACACGAGCGAACAAACAAAGAGTTGTTCGTGTTCAACTCGTTTATAATTCAAGCTTAAAAAATTGTTCGTATTCGACTCATTTACTTAACGAACGAGCTATATATTTGAGTTGTTCGTGAGCAAAGAGTTTTTTTTTTTTTTTTGACACGCTTTGACGAGGTGAACAGAGGAATAATACGAGCTATTCAAACTCATAATATCACGGCGAAAGATTTATTACCAAAAAATGCACAATCTTTAGGATTGACCTTGTCGAAGTCAACTTTATTTGAATGCTTGCCACGTGAAAGAGACGCATTTGAATGCTTGCCACGTGGACGAGGTGGATATGATGAATAACTAGCAATAAATATTAAATATTGTATGGCTAAGATGCAATAACAATTTACTGAAAACTTATTACTCTATTTTTTAAAAAATTAAATGAAATATTTAATTTAGATTTTAATCTAAAGCGAGGCACGTGTCACAAGCCGTTGGGTTTAGAACTGATCACAATCTATATCAATGGCTATACGTCTCATAGAATCTGAAATCACTTAGCCTAAGAATTGTCAAAATTGTTAGACTTGGCTTTTATGTATATGTGAAAAGCCAAAAAAAAATCATATGATCTGATCCAATCAAAATGAATTACAATAAGTTTATAAGTATAAAGAAAATTCTCTTATCCCATAATTGAAAAATTACTATAATTTTCTTTTTCGAGATGATTTCGAGCTGAAACATATCCAAATAACTCAATTTTAGCCAGCTCATTTCGATTTCAAGTCAAATCGAGCTCAATTCAATTTGGAGTACGGTCGGCTCGAAATTGAATATAACGAGTCACAAGCCATTTTTGAGCTGCAAGAAATATGTTCAAGCCGATTTTGAGCAGGTCCGAGAATGTCAGTTACAACGAATAACCAATAAATTTTCTTATGTATTGTTACTTATTTTTTTCGTGTAAGTCAATATATAGCCGCTCATGTAGTGCTCAAACCACAATCCGAACATATAAATGAGGTTTCACATGCAAAGCCTATGGTTAGATACAATTTGTTGGACTTAAATCAAATTTAAAAAAAAATCTTAAAACTTTTCACACCAAGAACGCGTTTGGCTACAAGTAGGATTTAAGTTTAAAAAGATTCAATAAATCATGTAAATCCAGATTCATCAAATCCAAATATTATTAAATCAGAGATAATGTCAGGTTCAGTTAAGAATAAATCCAGTTAAATCCATTTGATGTGTTTGCCATAAATGTCATCGAAGTGTTTTATTCCTAAGCTAAATCTGTTAACTCCAACTAATAATTGAATTTAACATAACCAATACGTAAATTCTATGCAAAGTATCGTACCAAACACCCCCTAAATTTCATATCTATTCTATTCTTCCTCTTTTCTTTTGATACAAGTGCTCATAAGATTATAAGACCGCTAATAATTTGATTGCAAAATCATATAACATAAATTTGATATAAATGGGCATTGTAACATCACCATCTGAGTTAGTTGATAGAACCAAAATGTAGCTTTTAAAAGGGGCACAATGTGGTTGTCATTTCCCCTTTGAGCTTCCCTGTCAACAGTTGGGATGATGGTGTATTGTGCTGGTGATTAATCAGCGGGAGGTGGCGATGTGCTTATAAACTTTGTTTGCGTGAAATTTGTGCATTACAAGATGTGATTTGAGTGTCGTCAAAGAACCATTTTGTCGGATTTGGTGGGCATAATTAGCAATATCCAATCGGAAAAACCTTTTTGGGTTTGATGGGTCCCATTGTGAATGTTGGGTCACATCAGCGGGTTTAATTGGTCGGGCCGTGAATCGGTGGGATCATGAATTCTGTCTTGTTTTTGAAATAATCTCTCTCTTTGATAATATTATATTTTTGCCTAAGGATTTTGTACTTTGATATTTGATTCACAACATCAGCTCAGACGGCTGAGCTTGATCGGCTGAGCCTGATCGACAGAATCAACTCGGTTGACTCTAATCTGGTTGTTAAATTTTATTGACTAGTGAGAGACCTCTGGATGTCAATGAGAAGATTGGAGGTGCTGACCGGTTGTATAAACTGGAACGGCTACGTTAAAACATCCGGTCGAATCACTCATTCATTAAATCTGGAGCGATTGAATTCGTTTGTTTAGAAATTGCTAGTACTATAAATTTATATCGTTATAGCTGTTGAAATTATTTCCAGCATATGTTATATAGGAATGCTAAAATGGATTTTTATTGGCAAACAATTTATGCTCGACTGATTAAGAAACTTATGTTAGATTCATTCATTAAATTAACAAGCCAAACATGAACAATTTTTTCACTCGATATATAAAAGAGACAAACACAAACAAATTTTTATTTGTTCGTGATCATCTCGTTTTGACTCAAACTACCACTCATCAGTATATATAATTGATGAATAATATTTTTAGAAAAATTAATTGACCACAAGAGTATAAATATTTATAATCAATTAAAATTATTAAGTTAATATATTAAACAAAAATATATTAAATTATATTTTAATAATATTTTAATATAAATAATAAGATTTAAATCTTACCACTCCAACCATTAATATCCTAGGGCTGTGTAACTATAATTGTCAAAACGACTCTTTGTTCGCGAACAATCTATGTTCGGCTCGCCAAGCAAACAAGCCGAACGCTAACACTTTTTTTTTCCTTCAAAATATAAACGAACCGAACATGAACAACAGTATTTTTAAAGAGCCGAACATGAGCTGAGCAAGGCTTGTTCATGTTTGACTCGTTCACACCCTTATTGTTATATATTAATGGTATATATTATTATATAAATTTCGAACAATTTCCTTTAAACAAAAAAAAAAAAAAAGAGAAATCTGAAGGTGCTTGAAATGTAAAAAGCTTTTTGATTTTTTTTTCAGAAATTGTTTTCATAATGCAAGCTCTATACTATATATTCATATAAAGAAATGATTATAATAATGAAATCAAGCAGAAAAACAATAGAAAGGGAATTACATCTCCGATCAAAGAAAAATAGAAAAAAAAGGGCATAAAATAAAAGCCTGTATAAGATAGAAGACCCAAGCTAGAATGTAAAGTGTATATGAAAGCAGTCAATCCAAAGCCATCGATAGGAGGGAAAAAAAGGGATGACAGTGATATAGTCCCTAAAGACGGTTGAAACAAGAGGAGCTATAAAAATATAAGAGAAGAACCTCTGTAAGACTGATCACTCCATCTAAGATAAAAGAGTAACATCAAAATCATTAGGATCCATATCATGAAAAATCCCATCAGAAGAAATCAAAGACATCAAAAAAATTCAGGCAAAATAGAAATATTAATTGAGATTGTGCAGTAAACCCAAGACCAATCACTCCATCTATAGAATAAAATAAATATAAACCCAACTCACGGGAATCGTTTCAGGATGCTCATTGGTCATGTTATTATCAATTCTTGACCTCTGATGAAGAATCTCAGGAGCGCTCGCGAGATAGCTGGTGATACTGAACTTTTCCCTTGAATCGGGTTGTGGCGAGAAGTAGGTCGATGCCTCTGCTCGGGTTGATTTGCCTTAGTCCTTCAGCCTCCCGCTAGTCGGCCATCCTTAACCGTACTTTAACCGTCTCTGTTGGATCTCCTTGAGATACATGCTGGCGCATTTTTTATAAACATATGAAAAAGAAGTTCCCAACCAATTCTTTGGGTTCCGTAAGTTGAATCAAGATTTTGGCACATGAGTTATTTGTCATATTGATTCCAAACAAAATCGGAAATCAGTTAGTTAGAACAGGAATTGAACTTCCACAGTACTAGGAATCAGAACGTCAAAGTCAATACATGCAAATTTCCATCTTATGCCAAATTTCTTTAAGCTTTGAACAGTGGCCGAAATCAGATGTCTGGTGATTTCATAAATAATATTTGTCAACATCTGGCATTACAATCAAAATAAACAAAAAAAAGATATGGTATTATACGGCATAAGTGAGCAGTAATGAACTGGACATGCGGTATTAAGAAAAAGGTTTGACTGCCAACAAAATCTAGAGCTAATTTTGAGCAGATACAGAAGGTATAGAGTACTGCAATAAGACAGTATGGCTTCTGAATCTCAATGGGAACTTCTTCTTCTTATCTCACTCTCACTCTCTCTCTCTCTCTCTCTCTCTCTCTCTCTCTCGATTCATTTGCATGTGGAGATGCAACTGCGCTGAAATCATTTTATAAGTGAAGAGAAAAACAGTAGAACTGTAAGGAGACGCATGCTGCAAGTGAATGTTGCAGATGCATTTACTCAGCATAAAATACTCTTTTAAGAGTTCAATTAAAAAAAAAATGAAAAACAACGAAGATTTACATACATACCACTCAATTCTTATGTATTTACACACATCTAATACCTAAACTTCTTAGTTTCTAAGTGAACTTTTTTTTAAAGATGTAATGCCAACTACATAATAGAGAGCAAATATGGTTTTGAGTGCATCTCCATTTTCATAGAAGTACATGGCCTCGCCAATTATGGTATGTAAATCAGAGCTCACAACAGCATTACAACACCAACAACCTATATGGATTTAACGAATCATTCCCCAATAAAGAAAGTATGCAGCATACAGTTAAGGGTTTCATAATTCAAAAAGAAAGAAGATTGAACAAAAGTGAACCAGGTCAAGGAAAGCAAAAGCTCATCCCATGGTTGCTTCTACCATTGCACTTCTTAAAACAACAATTTGTAGCCGATTAAATTTTTCTCTCTCTCTCTCTCTCTCTATCTCAAATGAACACTCGTAAAATGCGAGCAATATTGGGGGCTCAACAAATTGCAGCTTTCCAATATAGATTGCATATAAAAATTAAAAAGAAAAATAAAAATAAATAAATGAAATACAGCGCAAGTTGAATATTCCTCTGAAAACTACAGAATTTGCAAACTTTGGCAGCATTTTCTGCTTCATAACCGCTAAAAGACGAATAAAATGGGAAAATTCTCATCTGAAAACGGTAAAGAATTAACCAACACATTAACAATTTCCAGCCTTACAATTTTCGCATTTCCAGGAGAGAAAGGGTGGAAGACTAACCTAAAAGCTTCAGCCTCCTTTAACAACTTCAAGCTCAACAAAATTTATAAAAATTCATTGGGGAATGATGATAGTTTTTAAAATGCTCATAAGAAATGCGCATCACACTGAATCATAGTTTTCAAAATCTAGCAATATAGTAATAAATAAAATATATGGAATATAAAACCCAAACTAATAAACTGGTCTGCAGCCATCATAAAAATGAAAGAAAGTTAATTGTTTGACAAATATATCATACATCAACTAGCACAAATAGCTTAAATTAGAATAATGTTTTTGGTTCTTTTTAAAAGAAAGAGTCACCAGCTTTATCTATTTATATGTCGTCGTATAATTTTCTTTTTCAAATAAAACTTCCTCTCGGATCATAGAAATGATTCATAAATAAAATGAATAAAAAAAGAATATACGAAGGAAAATAGACAAACAAATTAAAAAAAAAAACATGAAAAATTTATGTACGGTAATCCTCGTCGAGAATATACGTCCAAATAAAATTGGATCGAAATATCTCAAAACACTATTCACGAAGAAAATCTCCACATAAGCAAACCATAACTAGATAATCCCCAAAGAGCACTCCAAAGGGAACGCATCCCTTTAATTAATTACATTTGGGGGATACCTAAGAATACATTCGATAAAAGATATCTTGCTTATATTATAATGATAACTGGTGGATAGATCACCAAACAAATGATTATTTCAATCAGGAACAACCTGATGTTTGCAGAGCTCTCGCTAAGTCATAAAGCAGAGAGTGAGTTTCTTACATCCTAAAAGGGTAGCGGTTCATCGACATAAGAGACCTATGAAATAACCAGACCGACTTGATAGGAACATCCCTATGATTCAAGATCTAACCGGACCATAAATGCAGAGGGTGAATCACCATATATCCAAGCGGGCAGCATTCTATCGACAATAGGGATTGTCAAGACATCTATGAAGGCACAAAAGGATGACAAGGCTCAAAAGGGGCTTAAAAAATGAGAGGTGATGAGATCCTACTGGGTCATCTCAACCTATGGAGTTCGTAAGTCTACTTGGTCGAGAAAGTATTCAACCCAACTCAATCAAGGACCCCTTGTCAGCAATTCATGAACTACATCGTTCAAGGGAATCCCGGCAAAAGAAGAAAACTCTAAGTTTTGTGACCTTCTAGAGGTAGAGCTCACAGAGATGAGACTTGTACTCTCCAAATAAAAGACGAAGATGCCACTGGAAGGAAGCAAAAAGAGATATCTAACTACAAAGCTGAAAACACTCCCACAAAAGACTTATACATTGTCTAGGTCAGGAAAGCCTCTAACACCTTAAACGTGTTAGACAACCACTAAGTAGAAATCTATGCTGGGCATTTTCGTCATTTATTTGGTTGTCTAACTTGTTTAAGGTATGACTATAGAAGCACGGAGGTTTCTCCTCGGGTCATGCAATATTATGCAATTATCTTTAGTCCTAAGTGTGGAAGCCCTATTAAATATGACTTGTGTAATAGCCATACATACAACTTATTTTAAAACCGAACCAAAGGCCATGTAGAAAATTAAAGTGCAGGTTTTAAATAGTTGAAATATTTTAATCCAAAATTTTGATTAACCTTAATGACTTAATATCAGAATTTTGAAAAAGATAAATTTTATGTTTTTAAAGAGCCAAAATTATATATCGCGGGATTCCCAAACAAGCCGCAATCAAAGACAGAGGAAATGACAAGCACACTGCGCAAAGTAAAAACCCCAATTATAAAATAAGACATACGCTGATGCCGCCGAGACGACAACATATCCCAGAAATCAAAAATGTGGTCAGGCTCCGCATATACATGTATGATTCTAATGCTATACATCAAAAAAATCCATAATTAAAGTACGGGATATGAGCTGATTACTCTTGGTCCTCGCCACAGGGTTCCCGCGTTACGTCTTGGAACCCGTGCCACATACTTTATTTTTAGTACAACTTCTAGCCTACGGGGCTCAAAAAAGTACATACAAGAAAGACACGACGTGCATTAAAATCGGGTTAGCATAAAAGCTACCTACATGCAACATAGTGTACCATGCCAGGTGGGAGGTAAACCAAACAACACCTGTAGAAATTGTGTTAAATAAAATCATAACAGTCCCTCCCTGCAAAAAAATCACCCATAATATACTAGTGTACTGTCTCACACCCAGTAAGCACACAAAAACAATACACAAAAATGTATGACTAGAACAGAAACCAAAGAACAATAGCTAGGACATTAAAAAAAAACAACCTCAACAACCTAATCCTAGGCTAGCAAACCATCTATCACATAACGTCCTAGTGACAACATCAAAGTGTGTATGCACAGTGAAGGATAAAGTTTAGACATAGTACTTTGACGGAATTGCCGACACAGGTCATGTCTTAAAGATCCAAGAGATTTAAAATACATCACTGGGATGACATTTTAAATAAGAGATCTCACATATGACCTAACTTATATAATTTTAGCAGGGTGGATAATACGTAATAGAAAAATATCCTTATTTATAATTTAAAATATATAAGCATTAAATGCGAGTCCGTAACATGCAAGTGACAAACTTTAGACACCTTGACATCTTACACGGTTATATGCATGTTGGTTATAATACGAAAACTTGCATTACTCTCCGAAATATCCTTGAAAGCAAAAGCTCGTTTAGGTGTTACGACCAACAAACGAGTCACTCATCCAACAAATCAATTTGCAATCCAAATGGACCAAGTGATGCGCATGCAAGATGCAAATATGAGATAGAATGTCACGGTCGCTGAAGCGAAAATGCGTGACACACTAAATGATTGAATACAATATGAATGTCCAATAGGTATGAACATTCACATTGTACCTCGAAGGGGGTTTAGCACGCTATGGTTGCTCAAGAAAAATATGTAGAGTCCTAAACAATTGAACAAAATATAAATGTTCCAACATGTGTGAACATTTACATTGTACTTCTAAAATGGTTTCGCATGCGACGGTCGCTCAAGCGAACATATGTAGCATACCGAACCACCCAAGTCTAAATATTATGACATATAACTTGTAGGCTCGATGTGATGACATCAAAAGTGACAATCACGTGCAAAAGACGAGCAGGACGTGTTATGCATGCATGAACATGCTAAATGCAAAATGTAAAACAATCAAAATGGGCCAAACATAGATGCGGCCGAGCCGACCGATATTGGTCAAACGATCGAGCCATCGAACAAGGGACAATGATCGAGGCGAACGACACTTGAAGTCCGGTCTAGCCAACCTAAAGTGGGCGGCCGAGCTAATCGATATCAGTTGGTCGATCGAGCCATCCGATAAAGGACAACAGATCGAGTCGGACGATATTGAGCGACCGATCAAGCCATCCTAAAACGAGCGACCGAGTTGATATATCAATTGACCGATCAAGGTGTCTGACTAGAGAGAACAGATCAAACTGAACAACACCTGACAACCAGTCATTTCAGCCTAAAGTGGGCGACTCAGTCGACCTCTATCAGTGAACTGATCAAGGCGTTCGACATGGGACAACCGATCAAGCTGGCAATACCGCGTGGCCAATAAAACCGGCCTAAAGTGGGCAGCCGAGCCGACCAATATCGGTTGACAGATCGAGGCGTTCAATGTGGGATAGCTGATCGAGCCAAACGACACCGGGCAGCCGGTCAAGCTAGCCTAAAGCGGGCGGTTGAGCCAATAAGAATGCAAAATCAATCATTTTTTATATGCACATTTAAAGAAATGATCCCATGCAAATGAGAAACATACACAATCACATCTCAATGGCAGGTTAAAATGCTCCTAGCGATCTCACATAAATCATAG